TTTGTCTAGGTAATGGAGGATGTTTTGCACATCGTTCTGGTCTCCCAGCGACTCCTCCAGCAGCTCCCGGAACTGAAGGAATGCTTCAGTCAAGAACTCCGGGGGTTGCAGGTAGTCCAAATCCTCCGTGTTTGATAGCAGATGGGCTTCGTCTGCTCCAGTTACCGTGTGGGAAGCAAGTTTCAGAGCCTGTGGAGGACATGGAGTCGTATTGATTGATATGAATGTTGTTGTCCATGACGGTATCGTTATGATTGGTGCTGATGCTGTGGATGAGGATGTTTTTGTCGTTGTTAGTGATGGGCTGGTTGTGGAGGTCGGTTGATAAAGTGAACTGGTGAAGCTTTTGATCAGCAACGATGGGGATGGCGGGTAAAAGACTGTAGTACTGTACTGGTTATTGTCATTGGAGACGCAAGTTCGAGATTACTTGAAGTATTTTGTTTGTGATCTCTGCAGTTGATGAGGATGTGACGGAGATGGTGACGATGGAGGGAAAAGAGACATTGAGGGCGCATAACGTTTCTTTGGTCTCGTTGCGACCAACACAGTTCAGTTCGAATAATTTAGCCAGCCCGGCCAACGCGGCTTAGGCCATCTCAGGACTTTGGTGGCTTAGGGATTAGGCGATCTCTGTGAGTATTACTAGTATAATATTATTATATCTACTCCCTCCGTCTCACTTCTATATTACACTTTCACAACTTTAAATGAAAAAAACCGCCAACAAGCTACTTACTCCCTCCGTCTCACTTCTATATTACACTTTCACAACTTTAAATGAAAAAAACCGCCAACAAGCTACTTAGAACATATGGCTGTTATCATCTTTAAATTCACATTATAAGCTATGTTTCCATGTCTATATTATATTTAGAATTATTAAGTCTTTCAGTCCGTTGAGCCGTTCGAAGTAAGGAAGCCGCCAACAATCCACCCTTTTTCTTACGGATCTCCCCAGCAAGTGAAAATTCGACGATCACACCAGCACAAATCTCTTTCCTCTGAATATAAGCAACAACTTTGAAAATGGTGACAACAAGGAAAAAGAGGGTTGCGATGACCGAAAAGCTGAAAAAAGATGTATTCATGGCGTGCGTGGTGAGGGTGTCGCGAGAAATTTTACCTTACGGAAGTTTTAAAGCTGTTGGCGAAACACACAAAATCCATCCAAGAACTGTTGCTAATCTGTGGTATTCAACGCTGAAGCAAATACCGGGATATCAACCCAATACCCCTCTTGACCCTGTCTCTCTTCTTGCAAACGTTCCAGAAACGGCATTTACTACGAAGTTCGAAAATTCTGGAAGAAACCCGAAGCATGACCGAGACATGCTGTTGCAAGAGATCAAGAATATTGATCCTACCGCTAGAAGAACCATCAGATCTCTTGCTGGAGCTGTTGGTATTCCAGTTATGACCATCTGGAGAATGAAACAGTCGAAGAAACTGAAGGTTCATACCATGGCTTTGAAGCCGAAGTTGAACGATGATCATCGCCTCAATCGGCTGTTTCACTGCATCGCAAAGAACGACAAGAACACTATCAATTCTGTGGCTGAAATGACGTTCAAGAGCATGTATAACGAGATTCATATTGATGAAAAATGGTTCTTTCTTGTACGGGACGGGCTTCGGTGTATTGTGACCCAAGACGAGCCACCGCCTAAGGCAATATCAGTGTCCCACAAGAGTCACATCACTAAAGTCATGTTTCTTTCCGCTCTTGCAAGACCAAGATTCAATCATACAACGAGACAGGAGTTTGATGGACTAATTGGAATCTATCCAGTAGGAGAAATCGACATGTATGTGAGAGCAAGCCATGGTCACCAACCAGGAGATCTAAAGTGGTGTAACGTCAACATGGATAGGGATTTGTACCGAGATATGCTTTTTAATTTTGTGTTACCGGACGTGAAGAAGAAGATGCCAATAGACAACAACATTATATTGCAGCAAGACGGTGCCAAAGCTCATCTACCAGATGACGATCCGTTGTTTGCAGCAAAGGTCACAGAACTGTTTGGAGATCCAACTGCTGTGAAGCTGTACACACAACCGGCACAGTCACCAGATTTGAATGTGAATGATCTTGGCTTTTTCAATTCTCTACAGTCAAGATACTACCAGACAGCTCCAAAGGACGCTCTTGAATTGATTGAGATGGTAGAAGAAACTTACAAGAACTATCCAGCCAAGAAACTCAATCGAATTTGGTTGACACTGCAGAGTGTGATGAATCAGGTCATCAACCAAAGAGGAGACAACGACTACACAATCCCTCACATGAAAAAAAAGTTCTGGAACGACAAAACCAATTGCCACTATCGTTGGATGTAACTGCAGAGGCAAGCACGTATCCACTCGACATCTTGGTTGATTGATGCTTTCAATAATAGTCTCTGATAGAGTTCTGTTTCCTTTTGTTGATGTTGTCACAACTTGAAATGAAAAATTTAGTTTCTCTAATGCTTTTTGAAACAGTTGTCGAGCATTCTTCTAAATATTCATAAAAAACGAGCCGGGTCATATAAAAATGAGTCGCGCCATCCCCTGTAGAAATCCTAGGAGGTCTACACAGCTCGGCACGCTTCATTTTTGTTTTCTGACTGGCACGGCATCCTCAATAGGAATAGAAGTGAGACGGAGGGAGTATGTTCGAATCTTGCTTTACTGTTATTAATAGTAGCATCATAATAAATATACTCTACCGTAGCTAGCTACCGGTAGCTACTAGCTAGCTAGCTAGCAGTCGTACAGAAAAGAAGAAAAATAATCTTCGATGGGTTCCATGAACAAAACTCTCTACCGGTGTATCATAGTACGGTAGCTAGCTACCACTTTAGCTATCTACCGGTACCTACCGTAGCTACCGTAGTACCGGTAGTTATACCAGCCAATAGCTACGGTACTACAATCAATGATGATCAGAATTCCTGCATTCCCAAAAGAAAACAACATGCACAGGGCGGAATGCAAAAAAGTTGAACACAACATGATGATATTTTGTAGTTTAACCTTAGCATTAGTTCCCTTCTCATGTAAGGATAGAGGACAACAACATGGCTCCTTCGACCAATAATTGAGAGGTAAAACAACAAAAAAAGGGGTTTTGGGTTTTAACCTTAAAATGGTACTACTAGGCGGGTTGGTCTCTTCCTCGGAAGCGCACAAGAACGTGTCGCCATCAAAATTCTCTTCATAAATCGCCGAGGCCTTCACCTCTGTTTCCCGTGGATCATTGGGATGAAAAAGGCTTGCTTCTAAATTGCTTCGACGTGCCACAATCATAGGTATTTCTCTATAGAATACTTCAATAGCAGCAAGCTCTCTCTCTTTTGTCATACGCTCCCTATAGAAAGAGCGGTTGCGAAAACACTTCATGAACATAATGTCATGGTGATTGCGAAGCTGGTTTAAAAGGTTCGAACAGTGTTTGATTTCATTTTGCATTCGCAGTATAAGGGCGTGCGTTTTGACGTCATAGATCCGACACCGGACATCCAACTAGAGAGTTCTTGCAGGGGAATGGTTCCACCATTATGAGATTTGGAACGTAAAACCGATAGATGTCGCATCAGTCGAGTCGCTTGTGTGCTAGCTGCATTGTACAGCTCATGTACAACTTCAGCATTGTACATGACAAATTCCGAAATTACGTCGAGTCCAAATTCGTACTGGAGCCCGATTTCGAGGTGCTGTACTGTCGCCAAGACGTCCATCATCTCGTGGTACGTTTCATTCATTCGTTGGTCGACTTTTTCGTTGGTGCTACTAAAGTCGACCATAATGAAGAACTGCTTCTCTTCAATGTTGAACTGTTCTTGGTAGAACCGGTACCGCCGTTGGAAGTTTCTGGTGGAACCAATTTTCGTTATCTTCGTTCCGTCGGCGCTCAAGATACAATAGACACCGCTATTGCATGTCATGGTTCGTTTCTTGAGGTGAGACGCGAACTTTCCGAATGGCGATTCGAAAAAGTTCTCTTCCTTTAGGATCTTGGCGCTTTGTACACAGAACGGCTTGATAATCCTCCTAGCGTTGACTTCTCCCACACATTCGATAGGTCGAAAGTCGGTTCCGTCGGTTTCTTCATCAGTATCGTATTCGTCTTCTGCTTCTTCATCATCTTCTTCTTGGCTTGAGTCTTGCTCGCTAGATGTGGAGGAAGCCTTCTTCATTGTCATGCTGGGAGAGAAGGATGATGACATAGAAGGAGTAGTAGTGTCGGAAGATGATGACAATGGTGGATCCTTTCTCTTCTTCTGGGTGGTGACCAGTCTTACAGAAAAAGTTGCAGCAGTAGATAGTGGTGTTGTAACCAATGACGACGACGATGTCGATGTAGTAGTAGTAGTTACATCCGTTGTCGTACCTTCTCGATCATCTTGTTGACATTGAGTGGTAAGAAGCATCTCGTCTTGTGTCTTCTTTGCTGCTGGAGTAAAGAAGGAACGTATGTCTCGACCTTGATTTGTTGGATGTTGTACCACCTTCTGCTTCTTTGTCTTCCCGTTGCGTGGCATGGATGCTGTCATTGGTACCATTCTTCCTCTGGCCGCATTGGTAATACGATTTTCTTCTTCGTCGTTCTTGCTGGACACCTCACTGCTCCTTGCAAAGAAGTCGGTAATGGGTCGAGAGTGGTTAAGCTTGCGACTGGACATGCTCCTGTTGATGATGATGTATCGTGATGATATTGTTGATGATATTGATGATGATGATGGAAATGACAACAGCAGATATGGGAGAGAAAAAGAAAAGAAGAGGATCAGTTCTACTGTCGTACTTTCAACGTTGGCACGAAGCAAAAAGAGTTGAGACGAGGGTTGCGCCAAAAGAGAGAAAAAAAAATGACAAAGTCCTATGTGACTCACTCGACCACTGAACTGGAGATGACAGATAGACCAGAAGTATAACCTCAACCCTAAAAACTAATTGAGAGGTAAAACGGCAAAAAGAGGATTTCAGAGTTTCACCTTAACCCTAATAAAAAATGACTCCTGGGGGATTCGAACCCCCGCCAATAAAGACTGCGGCCTTAACACAGCGCCTTAGACCACTCGGCCAAAGAGTCAGAACTGGTACTGCTGTCGATTTCTACATTTCTGATCACTGACTCTTTAGTGATTTTGGTGTTGACTGTCGTCTCATCAGAGTGCTGGAAGATACACAACATTCACAGCAGTCATCTTTCTCATTGTGTCATCATCACAATTATAATAGATTCCATCCTTCAATTTTGTTTCTGCTACACTGCTACTAGGTAGCTAGAGTGTCACGAATCTATGTTCTTGGGTCTTGTCATTATCATTGCAAGTAGTCGTTCCCAGTTTTCAAGTAAGAAGTACAACAACTCTGCCTCTCCGCCCTCTTGGTGTCAGCATCTTCCTTTTTTTGTACCAAGCTCATCTCTACTGGTAGCTACGGTAGTATGATCATCAGCATGATGTTCATTTGACGTTATTGTTGCTTTTAGGAAACCGACAGCACTTATATTACGACTTTTAATTTCCTCCACATCACCTGCCTCAAATAGTACAATTTTTTTACATTTAGTTCCAGCACCTGACTCTCATCACAGCACCACTGGCTGTTCCTTACGACGTAGTAGAGGTACTATCATCATCATAATATTATAATCACGATATTATCTTTATAATATAGTACTATTATATAGTACTTTATAAAATGCTGACTGTTAAAACTCCAAAAGCGGCGAGCAACGTCAAACATTTCTGGCAGTACTCTAGCTAGAAGTATTTTTTGGTTTGGTTATTTTCAAATTTGGTTACTATTAACTATTAATGTAATAAGTCGTATAATATTAATAGTAGTATTATAATGGTTTTTACAGTTAGAACTTTTTTACGATGATGTATGTACGGTAGTCTACCGGTACTATAATACACTACTATGATACGTAATTTGTCTTTGGTCAGATGGTCAGACCATCGAAGCGTACAGTCGCTAATGGAACGACGAAACGAGAAAAAAATCATGATGTTATTTTGGATTCACACTACATACACCTACTGTGTCCGACAGTACGACAGTAGGAAGTTACTGTTAAAAGGTTAGTGTACGGTACCTGGTACGTCGTACACATCATAAATAATAATATCGATGTTGTTGTCATGTTCGGATCGGGCCCTGACTGTGAAATACAACCGAACCATCATCAACACAACACCTGGCACTACTGTACTACATCGTTCTCACCCCACTTGCTACAACAAGAGATCGTTATCCAAAACTCATCATGGTAGTAGAAGACACGAAAATGGAGGATTCGTCCAAGACGAATGAGGAGCAAAAGAAGGAACCCGCTACAACAACAGTGGCTGTGCCGACACCACCCCTAGAAGTTGCCGCTCGGAGACTCGAACGATTGTTGGGTGGTGGATTGTCCGAAAAGGACCGCCATCTGTATACATACACCAACCCGACCAAGGTAGTTCGTCGCTGGTTGGGATCGGCTTCAGGTGCAGCTGGAAAGGCTTCTTCGGCGGACATTGCTTCGGCTGCCACTGTGTTGCTAGACCCCGACAATGTCTGCAGACCTGGTCGTGCCTTGTTGTTGCAAGTATGTGACGACCCTGCCACAACTGCTACTGGTGATTCGAATGTAGCGATGGATGTTGATGAATCAACCGATGGTACAGATGACCAGAAAAATCGAGACGAAAAACGAGGAAAATATCTCTCTTTGGTCAGCAGTCGTGAGGTAGAATCATGGTTGTTGAGTCTTCAGGTTCGTTTGTTGTGGAAAGAAGAAAAGTATACCGAAGCCATGACCTTGGTGGAAAAGGGAATTGCTATAGCTTTGAATCATCTGGACGTCGCCTCCTCCCAGAAAATGACGTCTGCTGCGGGTGTTTCCATGTCGTCGTTGTTTCCTCTTTTGGCTCGGTTGTATCGCTACCGATCCTTGGTGGCAGACGCCGTGAAAGATCCCAACATCGCCCTTTATCTCCGTGGTGAAATGTCCAAGGCACACAATATGGCATGCCTCCGTCGTGACTTCGAATCGCAAGCTACCCTCCTGAATTTGATGTTGCGGGATCTCTTGCAGCATTCGCAAAGTAAGAACCCAGTTGACTGTGAACGGTCCTTTCGAAACCTCGTCTCTTTTTTTGTTTTATTCGCATCACTCACAACACATTTTCATTTCCTACTCTCCAAATCATCGATTTATAGTCGAACAAGCACACAAGTTGCTCTCCAACGCCAACTTTCCAGAGTCGGCATCCAACAACGAGCTATGCAGATACCTCTACTACAGTGGGAGGATCCAAGCCCTTCGTTTGGAATATACCAAGGCCTTTTCAAACCTCAGTCAGTGTCTTCGAAAGGCTCCCACCAATACCGGGCTGGGATTCCGTATCACGGCGCAGCGTCTCTTGGTAGTTGTCCAGCTTCTCATGGGAGAGATTCCTGACCGTGGTACCTTCTTCGCCAAGGGTTTGAAGACAGAACTCGCTCCCTATCTGGCCATTACGCAGGCAGTCCGCCGAGGTGACTTGGCCGTTTTTACCCAGGTTGTCTCGGATCAAGCGACTCGTTTGCAACAGGATGAGACTTACACTCTCATTTCGCGACTTGCCCATCAAGTCGTCAAGGCCGGTCTTCGCAAGTTGCACGTCAGCTATTCGCGATTGAGTCTCCAAGATGTCGCGGATCGCCTCGGGTTGCCATCGGCAACGTCGGCGGAGTTTGTCGTCGCCAAGGCTGTCCGAGATGGCGTATTGGATGCTACCATTCACCACGAGGAAGGATACGTGCAAAGTCACGATTTGGTCGATGTATATGCCACCAAAGAACCCGCCGAAGCCTTTCATCGTCGTATCGCGTACTGCTTAACCACTCACAATGATGCGGTCCGTGGCATGAGATACCCTCCTGATGCCTACAAGAAACAGTTGGAAGCCAGTCGAGGAAATCGACGGGGCAAGAAGAGTGACGACAAGACCGATGAAGAAAAAGCTCAAGAATTGGAAGATGAATTGGAGGAAGACTACTAAAGAAAAAAATATGAATCATTATAATATTGGTAACGGTCGGCTCGCATCCTTGGAAAATATTATGGAACATCAGGCAATGAAACTACGCGGTAGTAGTCTAGTCTACCAATGCGTCGTATGAAAACATACTCCGAGTAATACCTATACACGTCGTACATTCATAGTGACACAGGATTGGTTTTTGTGTGATGACGTGAATTATTTTAAAACTCCATTTTGACCCGTGCGGAAAAATGTCATAGTGTTTCGACAGATTCTGTGGCAGTAGTAGTAGACCTACGGCAGTTGAAATTGTGTGATAGAAAGAGTGGAGAGTTATGTATTATTTTAGAGAAGAAGTAATGCAGATGGAAAGAATGTATGCAAGTGGTGGGGGATGGGAAAATGTCATAATGGAACAACTGGACACAAAGAAAGGAGCATCCAACCCAAGGGACTGTGTAATGCAACAAAAGAATCGTCAAGTTCTTTTGGGAAATAATCAGTGGGATGTTGTAAGGAATCGCTTGAAAGGATGCACCATCAAAAACGAAATTTGTTTCTTTGTCTTATTCGGACTGTGTGATGGGATGGCCCTCGACCAAGGCTGAGGAATGTTCTGCGGATGCTTGTAGAGACACTTGTGTTGGTACTGCAGCCGGTAGGACCGCTAGTTGATGTGGATCGTAAAGGTGTTGCGCGTAGGATGAGTGCATTTCTTCGATATGTTGTTGTTGCTGGTTTCCGTGTACACGTTTGTGTTGGACCTTGAGCCGTTTGTTACCGATTTGAAATCCGTTCATTTGTTCAATGGCGGACTCGGCCGCAATGACCGAATCGTACGATACAAACCCAAACCCCTTGGATTCCCCAGTATATCGGTCCACGTAGACCTTGGCGCTGATGACATTTCCGAAAGGGTTGAAGGCGGTAGCAAGGTCGGCATCCGTCAAGTCGTGAGGCAAGTGGTAGACAAACAGATTCGCCCCTGCGGGGCCTTCCCTCGGTCGAGAGTTGTTGGCATTTCGGTTTGAAGTGTTGCCATCCGGTCGTCCTTGGAACCCAAAGTGAGGATGACCGAATTGAGGATACATGTGGTGGTAGGCATGAGCATGAGGACCACCAGCGGCGGGGCCTGCATACCCGTACGGTGGATGTGCCATGGCAGCATAGTGTGGTGGTCCTCCAACATGAGAAGCCATGGCAATGTGTGGTGGAACTTGAAATCCTGGGAATGCGCCTGGACCCCCCATTGCAGCCATCATTTCTTGTCGTCGCACGTTTCGTATGTGGCGTTGCTGTCTCTGTTGCTTGTTGTCGGCAAATTTGACAATGAGTGGTCGAGCTGCACCTTCCATGACGAGGTTGTTGTGGAGGGTTTCAATGGCTTGAATGGCTGGGTCTCGATCCACGTATCGTAAAAAGGCAGCACATTTGCTGGACCCATCTGCATTACGGATCATGTATATTTCACGAATTTCTCCAAACGGGGCAAAGAGTTCCCGTACTTCCTCCTCCCCTGCCTTTCTCGAGAGCATACCAATGAAAAGTTTGTTTTCCGGAACGGATGGCTCGGCGGGTTTAACTTGTGCTGGTCGACGAGCTCCAGGAAACGTGTGCTTCCCGTGCAATGCCTCTTGTGCCTTTTCGGCATCTTCTGCAGACCAGTAGGTGACAAAGGCGCATCCTCGATGCAACTGAGTGTGTTTGTCTCGAATGATAGAGACATCCTTGAGTGGTCCGAAGGAATCGAATGTGGGGAAGATGTCTTCTTCGTTCATGGTTTTGGGAACCTACGAAAGAAAGGGCCGTGACAGATCGTAATTGACTGTGAGTTTCGAATTCGTCAAAAAGATAATGTGTTCGTGATTCACACTGCCAAGCAACCGGAGAGCGACCAATCATTTTACATTTCTTTCGAAAATGAAAAAGAAAACGTCCTCCACATGCAGTACGTACCTGTCCCACAAACAGCTTCATGGGTTCTTCTTCGTCTTGTCCATCATCGTCTCCTTCGTAGTCCTCCTCTTCTCCATCGCCGTCATTGTGATGGGGACTGTCATTTTCATTGTGT